CAATATCGAAGTTGTACTCGAGATGGGGAGCAGAGATAACTACGATAGATAATTTCTCTAGGACTCTCGAGAGCTCTGTCACAATCCATGGTAATGGAGACTGGCTGAATCTCTAAGAATACCTCGGTTTTTCTGGCGTAAGCGATACCATTTTAAAGAGTGCTTAAATTCTGTCATAGCCTCGATGTCAGTAACCAACCAAGTAATACATTGGATGTAAGATGATCCACCCACGTGAAACGCGTTGTAAGCAGACACATGTTTTGCATGTACACGTAAAATCGTAGGGATAATGAAAAACAGACATGTTTATGACTCCTTCTACTTACAACGACGTCACTTTAAATAATAAATCCTAACCTCTAGAGATTCGGACAGCCTTAAGCAATACTAGACAACTCTTGAGCAAGTCCTAGACAAGTTTAGACAACATCTCTCTTGGGATTTAGCTTGGGTGGGCAAGTCTGGGCAGATGACGTCACACGTAACATTTTGTGACGTCTTACACCACATAAGTACCAACCATAGGACATTTCGTGACATTCATACCACATAGGGACTGGCTCTAAAGCATTGCGCATGCGTACATTTTTAATCAGAAGATTGCACATGCGCATCACACAAATAGGTATCCCACATGGATGAATTTTACGCTACCGTTCCATATATAAATCAAACCGACCTTTATCTCTAATAACAAAGATGGCCGATCTGGACACTCGCTGATTAAATAATCAATTTTTACCCTCGTGTACCTACACGTCATGAATATAATTATCTAATAACCCTAACACGTGTACCTACATGGCATGAATAAATTATTACTCAAACTCGGACCCAGGCCGCGCGGGAATTGCTAGTCAGACGCGCTATACTACTGTTGTACTTGCTCTGATGTAGGGGCGGCAGTAATTTCCTGAGTTTATGGCCGCTGTCATTGAAAATACTTTCAAACGTACGCTTGCAAATATCACTGTGATGCTCCGCTACGGACGGTAGGTTCGTTAGTACTAACGCGTGCTGATATTCAGATGATTCGCATTGCCCTTTTTTGAACGCGCTCTAGTTCTGGCATTAAGTAGGCAGGTAGAACACAATGAAACACTTGTACAGCATAATCGATAACGGAGCGCACACATGTGATGTAGAAAAGACGAAGATCTTTCTGAGAAACGCGGGCTCTTTTAAGCTGGATGAAAAAATAGAGCCTTTTAGCTGCCTTTTTTATCACTTCTGTGATATGCGCGTTCCAAGATAGGTCACTTGAAATAGTTACGCCTAAGAGTTTAGCATCAGTAACAACCTTTATGCACTCTCCTCCGATAACTACAGGAGGGAAATCATGACTAACTGAAACAGAAAAAGTGCGAAGTTCCTTACATTTGTCAGTATTTAGTTTGACTCTATTTCTGTTGGACCAGTTCGCTACCTCATCTGCTATAGTTTGCGCATTGCTCACTTATCCTTTACTAATTACTTCAGATGTCGTCGTGTCGTCTACTTATTTCCAAAGTGATGCATTACTAATTGCTAGGTCATTAATCATGATTAAAAACAACCATGGACCAAGTTTGGTCCCTTGAGGCACGCCTGAAGGAACTGTGCCTCATTCTGATACACAGCTTTCAGAGAGTTTGATTCTCTGCGAGCGGCCTGAAAGGAAATCTATGATCCAATTAGTAACGCTAGGTGGAATAGTAAGCGCACGTAATTTTCTCACTAAAATGTTATGATCTATTAAGTCAAAAGCTTTCTTGTAATCTAACAAGAGGGTTCTTATAGTTGATCCGTTTCTATCAGTCCCTTGCAACCAAACGTGGAACATATCAAGGAGGGTGAGGGTTGTAGACGACTTTGGTATCGCTTCAAACTGACTAGGATCCAGCATACCCAGAACTGCTGGCTTCACGTGTACGGTGACGACAAAGTCCTCTGCGAGCTTGGAGATACTAGGGGTGAGCGATATAGGCCGCAGGCCCTTCTTGATCTCCTTTACTGGCTTCTGTTTTGGATGAGGGGTGACATCCGCCAACTTCTAGATGCTCGGTAGGCGCTGTTCCTTAAAGGAGGCAGTCAGTATAACAGATACTGGGTATGCAAGGAATTCTGCATACTCTCTCAGTATCCAATTAGGAATCCCATCGGGGCCGCCGGCCTTTGCAGGATTGAGATGAGAGAGTCTCTTGTACTAGAAATTCTGGGGCGTGGTCTTCTTCTAGAGGGATCTTTGGAATTTCATCAGTTAACCGGTATTCCTCAAGAGGTTCCAGCAAGGCATGGTTGATATGATCCGCCACCTCATGCATGGGTAAACTCTCCAGCTCGTTGACATCCAAGTGAGGAAGCAGACTGCAAGAAGGAACTTTCACAATTTGCTTAAGATGGTAATGGTTCTTCACGAGCTGTAAGTTCAGGCGATTGAAATCCCCTCAGACCATTAATGCACAGTTCGGATATATAGACTCTGCCAGGGCCAGAGAGCTAGAGAGATGGTTCCGAGTGCTGCTATCGTTCTCAGCTGATGGATCAGGATGGTAAACAATTGCCATAGCTAAGCAGGAGTACCCTCGGGGGAGTCGCTTTGGCCTCGGATGGACCCATAGAATTTCGTGTTCTTCGCAACATTTGAGTTCATCGATCAGCCGGTACTTAGAATATCTGTCCTTGATATATAGGTACACCCCGCCGTGCTCAACCACTTCTCTGTCCCGGCGGATGATGGAGTAGCCAGGGATCTCTTCTACACTATCAACTATGCGATCTTTCAACCAAGTTTCATTAATACATGCCAAATCAACCTTATTACGTACAGTGAACTTGAATACTTCTGCGATCTTTGGCATAAGAGACATGACGTTGGCCAATAATATTTTGGGGACGAAGTGTTCTCGTTTTGGCTGGTTGTTCGGATACGTGACGCGTTGCGTGCGTGATCCTGCGGGTCTTGATGATTGTTCAAAGTTCCATTTCCAAAGGTGTTATCTTGAATATTTAATGTCTCTCTCCATCCGTTCTGTAAATGAGCTTCTACTTCACTGACGCTAGTTTCCTCTTGAAATGATGACTCCAAAGAGCAAAGATGATCTCTCGAAAACTAAGGTTGTAACATGCTTCATGTAACGTTCCTTTTACTTTGTATTCATTTTTCATTTTCAGTTTGTCCATATAAAATAATCATGACGAATTGTTATGAATTTTTTAGTCAAACATTCTAATTTCTTTTGTAAGACAGAGCAACTCTCGTAATTTGACGTTCTCAGGTCGCGTGAAAGGTGGCTGTAACGACTTGGAGGTGACCATTTCCAGAATGATCGCGTATGTAGCATCGAGAACTGTGATAATTTGTCGAATACATTTGTTTTCTTTTCGCATTATTAGCGCGAGCAGACTTGAGGGGGAGCTTAACGCGAAACGCGAGTCACGCGCGAGAAAGGTAATCTTTTGCGCGCTCCTTATCTCGCGTGTGTCTTCGCTGGCCTCCGCTCCTCTGAAAAAGAGCAAATTAAGATATAGCGACTCAACTGAAACAAAAATGCGAAAAATTAAAAGGAAGAAATAAGATATTTAAAAAATTATCCGATAAGCCCCCCGGATTTAAGCCCCCCATAAGAGTCTTTGTCTTTGAGAAATTGGAACTCTTCAAACAGAAAATTTGAAAATTTTTTGCGGAGCAGTAAGTTCATTACTTCTTTTGATTATCATCTCTTTATATAGCTAGATATTTATTTGAAAATTCTATCGAATTAACTTTTCAATGCTTTAAAGGGACGGCGGAGCCTGTTTTCAATTGGAGGGGGGAGAAGGGGGCTTGGAACTAGTGTAGGGGGTGCGAGTTTGTAGGGGGTCTTCTCCATCCTCCCCCAGAGAATTTTGAAATCGCCAACTCGGGGAATAATCTGTGGTGAAGCTGACCTTTTTTATTTGCATCTTCTTTCTCTTTTGTCTTCATACGTGCCTCACGGTAAAACAAAGCAAAATGTCGTCGCAAAAAGTGTAACAGTTGCTTTAGCTCCGCCGTCCGCGTTATTAGGCTTTAACTTAACACATTCAATCAACTTAACGAAGGGCTTTGTTTGTGTAAATTGACGATGGTGAATAAAATGCAGTCTGTGCCTCACACATTTGTTTCCTTAACTACCTGAGCTTTGTTTTTCTTAGTCCGAAAGAGATAATATACACACGGTAATTCAAATGTATTGAAATAAATTCGATTTGTCATCACGTTTTGAAGCTAATGCGAACCGGGCCTACAAAAACAAAACCTTGAGAAACTTGTCAATCATTCGTCGCAAAGCTACAACCAGCATGTAATTAGACTGAAATCAGTTTACCAGATGGGCAAAAATTGTCTTAAGTTGCAAAACTCGGGAATTCTAAAATTTTTAAACAATAAATCCCGGAAATTAGAGGTAGAATCCTTTGGGAAAGTATGCTGGCCGTCTTATGAGCAGATTAGGCGCTGAAGTGGGTTGACGGCTTTGAAATTTTTAATGCGGATGCAACAGAAGAAACAAATATTTGTGGTGACAAAATTTGTCCTTAACTTTTTCGGGATAATTCTAGCTTTGTCCGTTAGCGCGGAAAGGCACTTATATGATAAAATGAAATTTCAACCTATATCGAGGTTTTACTTCTAAAATGGGTGATAAACTTCTCCATCTTTTACCATATATGTTTTATCCTATTCTGCCATTTATTTATCTATTTTTAAATTTATTCTTTGGTTCGTTCAAGTGTAAAATTAGCACTCGACGACCCAAGAACAATACAGAGAAACAAATGACGTGGCTCAATATAAATTTATGCTGATTTGACAAGTCCACAAAATTTCTTTGGGATTAAAATCCGAATTATTGCTAAATCACTCTACACTACTTCTAGGAAACACTGTGCAATTTTATACCTTTTCTCAGAAAAATAAGCCGAAGTATCAAATTTGTCGGTGTCTCATTTAAAAGGTAACATTTGATAAAGTAACGCAATAGCAAACGCATTCGCTCAGTCACTTTTTCCGCTTTAGAACCCGAACAACGAAAAATGCATTTAGTACTGGTACACGGATATTTGCTCGGTGGTTCAGGCTCCAATGTCTACACTGCTAACATTGCCAAATCGTGGAAGCGACAGGGTCATGCGGTGACGATACTCTGCCAAGATCCTCATGCTGATCGTTTGGATTTTGTCGACGAATTCATTGTCGGCAACGACAGTATTCCGTCCTCCGCCCCCTCGGCAGGCAGTATTCGAGTCGTAGTACCAGACATTCATGGGCTGCTTCTTGTCTATTGGTACGATCTCTACGAGGGGTACGAGGTGAAGACGATGGTGAACTGTTCTTTGGAGGAAATCGAAGCGAACATCGAAGGAACAGCGGACGGCTTGAAGAAGGTGATCGCTCAAGGCGTCGATAGAATACTGGCGAATCATGCGATCTTGAGTCCGGTGATAACGAAACGAGCCACGGAAGGCACGGGGATTCCATACGATGTCAAAATACATGGAAGCTCTCTGATATTTTCCGTGAAAAACCGTCAAGAGCTAAGATCCTACGCTTTGGAAGGAATAAAGAGTTGTCGCAAACTGATCGTCGGGGCGAAGTACATGGCGAGCTTTGTGCAAGAAATATTCGAGGTGGAGAAAGAGGAGATGGGTCTGCCCGGAAAGATCCTCATAATTCCTCCAGGCATGGACCCTGACGTTTTTCAGCTCGGTGGGTCTATAGGCGAGAGGCAAGAGGCGTTTTTGGCGAGTGCAAAAGATTTTATCACGCGAAAGCCTGGAGGGAGAAGAGCAAATAAAGTCAAACTTCCGGGTCACGCAACTGTCGAGTTACAGAAGGCATTAGAAAGCGTTTCAGAGTCTTATGACCTGCGAGCGGCTGATGCAGACCTTTGTGAACGCTGGATTCCTCTGGAAGAAGATGAGCCACTTATCTGCTTCTTTGGCAAGTTTCAAGAAACCAAAGGAGTCGGGGAATTATTACTGGCTTTTGCGACGATTGTTGAACGGATTCCGCGGGCCAGACTGTTGTTGATCGGATATGGCGGTAACCGCGAGAATTTGGAGGGAATGCTGGAGGCGATGGTTCAAGGAAGTTTAGCAGCCTTCAAGGCCTACGCTGAAGCAGGAAACTTCGTGGATCTCCCTCTGGAACCTGAGAAATTCTTCCGCCAGATTCCTTCGGGAAGGGTTACAATGACAGGTCTCCTAGAACACGGCCAACTAAAGGAAATCCTTCCTCTCTGCAGTCTCAGTGTAATGGCATCCAAAGCCCTGGAAGCCTTTGGAATGGTCTCAGTAGAAGCTATGGCTGCCGGGGTCCTTCCCCTCTGTCATGATCACACGGGAATCTCAGATGTCATTGGTGCTGTCAAAGAGGTGGATCCTGAGTTAGGAGATCTGATGCGCTTGGAGGTACGTCCAGGTGGCGCTCATGGCGTAGCAGACGGCGCGTTTCTGGTGGAGCAGTTGCCAAACAAAGTAGAGAAAGCTCTTAAGTTCATGTATCCTAATGGTTTCCGTGATCACAGTAAGCGATGTGAGGTGTCCGCTAAGCTGAGGGATGTGGCAATAGCCAAGTTCTCCTGGGATGTTATTACCAGCAGCATCTTAAAAGAGTAACAGATTGAGTCTCAAGCCTAACTATCTTTTCAAATTTGATTCAAATTGAATATTGATTCTCAAGTACGTACATTACATCATGATTCATAGAAAAAAAAGAGAGAGAGGAGATCCACGCTATCTTTAGGTGAAAGAGAGCAAGAGAACGAAATTGGAATTTTCTATATAGTCATCGGATAAAATGATTATTGTTATTGATTTAGTGGTTAGTGTCTTAGTCGTTTAACCTCCAAATTTTTATTTTCTCTCATACTGTCATCAAATTTACCAGAGAATAAGAGCAGCCGGAAATTTGTCCAAAACTTATGCCAGGGAGGTAGTCTTAGTTTTATCAAAGGGATACTTCCAACATTTGATCACTTTTATGTCTGTACTAATTGCTTGTCGGGTGTAGAATGATATTGCAATGAAGGCATTCATTTCAAATGCTTTCCTTTTCCGTTATTGACACTGCGCTTGACATATGGCAACATTTTGTCAACTCAATTAAGTCTCATCTGCCATGGATAATGATCGGAAATAAAAAATCTTAATTTTTAAGCCATCTCATCTTCATTGAAAATGAATTGCTGTCTTTGGTTTCCCTGCGCGGTTTTTTCATTTTGTCTCAACACGACCTAATATGGCTCTGACGAGTTCCCTTTGTTCTCGAATTTCTTCTGAACTATGACACTGAAGTCATGGCTCCATTGTTTTCTAGCAATCTTCTCTAAGTTAATGCGTCAGAAACACAAGCAATGACTTTGGGTAGATCCCAGTGCAAATACGACCTTGGTTTAAGTAATAGCAAGATCTAGTCTCAAACCACACTAAAAATTTTAAGTGTTACCCTAAATGATAAACTCACTTTCAAACCTTTTGTCAGGGTCGGCCAGGGTTTTTGGGTATTCGGTATTCAGGGGCGTTTTAAATCGGGTATACGGTATATTGCAGCTTAAATATGGGTATTCAGTATATCACTTTCTTTGAATTTCAGGTATAAAGTATTCAAAGCTTCGATTATTTTTGGGTATATTTGGAGGAATTTGGGGTATTTTGGGGTATTTTGTCGATTTTTTTTCGGGTATATTGGTATTCCACTACCCCCCCCTGGCCGACCCTGTTTTGTCAATGAGATTTTCAAAATTATTTTTACCTATTTTTCTTACTTTTTTCCTGTTTTGTTGTCGAGCGTTTCATACATGAGCCTCGTTGCTCGGAAGATTGGGTGACGACTTCCCACGTCATCGACAATAAGTAAATTATTACTTACTCAAATGATTGGTGTTCTTTCAAGGTCATTCAGGCTCATATCCCGGAAACAGTCTCAGTTCTTGGAGATAAGCTTTATGATACGACTCAAATAATTTTATGTAACTCTGTAATCACTTTTCCATATTTATCACTAGAATGATAGCACTTTACTAAAAAGCAAAAAAATTGCTTAAAAGATAGGAAGTTGAGGGCGACTGACAGCGATGGATGGGACACAGCTGCTCGGTCTTATATTCCATGCTACCTACATACAGGAGGAAACCGCATCGCGATCAACCCCTGAGCAAGAATCCTGAACACTCATATTTCAAATGCGTGACAACCGACGGAGTCCTGGGAGACACATCCTGATTGTTATGAGGTTATCGTGACATAATTAAATAAATTCTCCGTCACGTAACGTTAAAGCAGCCGAAAGATCTTAGCATTCACTGCTATATAAAGACATGGCTTTTGGTCGTTCAAGGTTACCTCTATTTGTAGTTTTGGTCTGTGGTGCAGCTATTCCATTGTTTTACGTAGTAAAAAGAGCAACATTGAATGGAGGATACACTCCTTGGTCGGACTGGAGCGTTTGTTCGAGTGATTGCGGCGACGGAATTCGCTTCAGAACTAGAGATTGTGCGAATCCTGTCCCCGGCAGATTCGGCCAGACGTGTCTTAAACAAAGCCTTGGGCAACCAAAGGAAGAAGAAAATTGTAAGATTAAGGAATGTCCCATAGATGGGGGATTCACAAATTGGGGTGACTTTGGCGAGTGTTCCACAACGTGTGGAAATGACGGTGTCAAGAAAAGGAAGAGGTCTTGTACAAATCCAAGTCCGCAATACGATGGAGCACCTTGCGAAGGCGCCGACGAAGGAAGTGAGTCCTGCAACGTGAAACCATGTCCTGTCGACGGTAGGTTTACCAATTGGGGAAATTTTGGCGACTGCGATAAATCATGCGGATCGGGAGTTAAGAGACGAACGCGAACATGTTCGAATCCACCGCCGGCTCATGGTGGAAAAAACTGCGAGGGTCCAGTGGATGAGGTTGAAGAGTGCAACACTGCACCCTGCGCGGTAAATGGCGGGTTCACGAACTGGTCTGAGTTCGGAAGTTGTAGCAAGACTTGTGGCTCTGGCGTCCAAGCCAAAAATCGTAATTGTTCACAACCAGCCCCAGCGAATGGAGGTAAAGATTGCGAAGGACCCTCTGAAGAAACACAAGCTTGCAACACAGATCCTTGTCCTAATATTGGGGCTTAGGGTTTTGGAACTCAAAGACAGTTTATTGAGAAATGTTCATGGTTCCTTTGGAGAAAGAGAGAGTTCCGCCTTTATCCCTATTCAATGCTAGTTTGTTAATACACTACCGCCGTTTTCAAAGCACTAACAAATGCAAAAACCGGTATATTTTCATAAACAAATATTTATTTATACTGCATTTAAGGTGTCTTATCGCTTCTTCGCACAAAACGCACTTCGGCAGGGTGTATTTCAACTCCGAATTTAGACTTTCAAGAGTGCATTATGTAGAGTTCTTCGGTAACGAACACAGGGAAAGTAAAACAAAACGCTACATAGGACAACTATGTCCCACTTTGTCTTAACAAGATCTCCAAAACAATACCCTCTAATAATTAATGCATAAAAACCAACGTGATAAATTGTTTGAACTGACGACATTTTTCCCTAAGAATTAAAAATATGTGTGTTGAAGTAAAGATAACCATTATAGCTTATGACACAAAGCAAGTCATCTTGTGAACTTAAGGGTGTTATTGCCATCAGATGCAGTTGATACCGGAATCACTGGATAGTCAATGATTCAGTTATTCGCATAAAGAGTGCTGCTGCTGATGTTACGGCGGCACGTTCCAGATGGCTACCCACAACTTAATTTTATTTGACAGATTGACGAAATTTTGACGGTAGTCTGGAGGACTGACATCGACTGATATGCGCCCACACTTCCAGAAATCCTTGGTTTTCTGTATAGGTTTTAGTCTTTGTAGATCGGAAACTTTTCTAAAATTAAAAAAATGTATTCAAGGATAAGTTTAACGTTGTTGTCAAAATTGTAGGGTATCTAAGAATCATCGGAAAATTAAAACTTCTCATCATTGAAGTTTGTCGAAGTAATATAAACTGTTTATATTCCCTCGCATTTGTCTCCTGTATCTCTAAGGAGTATAACATGAAGAATCTATATGCCCGTTCGAAATAGTTTGTAATACAAATACTGCAATAATAAGAAACATTGCGCTGTTGGCCTTTTGTCCATTTTTAAGAGTTGCATAATTATAAGAATTCTCGCCAGCTGATTGAGTACCCAGTCTACCCAGACGAAATATTGAGAGCAGATTTGTGGCTTGAAAGCGAGGCCGAAGGACGCCCGCATCGGAAGCGCGCGAAAAAAAAGCTCGGGTTAAAAACCCATACACGCATGACTTGAAAGCAACAACATTCAAACGGGACAGGAAAATTGGCAAAGAAAAACACTAGAAAGCTTAATTTAGAATTCCATCAAAGGGTGAAGCATTTTTGTTAATTTTCACAAGAGTGGAAGAGTAAACAGGTCCCTTCAGAGAGAGCAAAAACTGGGAAACTCTTTGACAAATTTCAAAACGCCATTCAAAACATGCAGCTTTTCAAGCGTGCTTAGCGACTTTCTTCGTCGTCAAAATCTCAGGTGTGATTTACCCTTGCAACGTTCTATCAATCCAGTCGCAGCTGCAATTCGATGGAACACGGTGAAGTTGGTGAAACAAGCTGGCTGGAGGTTTTTGAACAATCTTAGCAGCGGAAATTTAGCGTAAGTATGTACCTGGAGTTTTGTGAATAACCTCGCTTTGCAAAGAAAAAAGCATACTTTGGCTCGCAGGACTTGAAACATAATCGAGCGGTATAAGTCAGTGAATAGCTATTTTTAATAAATATAGATTTTGAAATTCCCGTTTAGTTGTGTTTTGAAATCTCTTTTTGGGGCCAGCCTTTCAAAATAGAAGTTATTTCTTTTCTTGCGTTGCCGTGGACAAGAAGTTTGGAAAAGGCTGTATGAAAAATTGATCTTTTTATGTCGTTGAATACTTCTTAATTATCCGCTAAAATCAGTTCAACTTGTACGAACATTGGAATGCAAAGTTTTTAAAATGTTTCAAATAGATTCAGCTGAATGTTTATCTTGATATTTCACTCGCTCTGGTCATTATGTTGGTTCCAAATAAACCCCTGAAGTGATGAATAAACGGCGAAGAATATATGAAAGTCATATATTTGAACTGCGGATAAAGACGTGAATGAAAGTGATCCTCGCAGTAATGTGCACTACATGAGTAGTAGTGAAAACAAGGCCTGGAAAGAAAAAAAAAAACTTTTGCATACAAAATAGAAATTAAGAAAGAAATAAAAAAAGAGAGGAAACAAAGAGTTTGTCATTATATTGGTTCCAAATAAACCCGTGAAGTGATCACTTTCATTCACGTCTTTATCCGCAGTTCAAATATATGACTTTCATATATTCTTAACCGTTTATTCTTCACTTCACGGGTTTATTTGGAACCAACATAATAACTAGCGCCCAGTTGGCTTGTTAGCTCAGTTGGTAGAGCGCTGCACCGGTATTGCAGAGGTCATGGGTTTAAATCCCGTATAGGCCTGAATTTTTTTTTTCAGGCCTTGTTTTCACTACTGCTCAAGTAGTGTGCATTACTGCGAGGATCACTTTCATTCACATCTTTATCCGCAGTTCAAATATATGACTTTCATATATTCTTAGCCGGTGAAATTATTCTTTGTCATCCCAATGGTAGCGCAGTTGGCCGGTCCATTTTTGTTAGAGTTTAAATGTACATTACAATGAGAATTTGGTTATGTTCAGGGATATTGTTCATGTGTCCAAACACACAGTGCGAAATCGCTCTGACAAAAGGCCCTGACGACTGGCTAACGCTCGAAACGTCAGCTTTTAAGCTCTTTACGGTGGCCAATTTACGTTATCAACTCAATTGATAATTACAGGTTAATACACTCAGCGATTTACCTGCACGAGTTCACTAACAAAGACTTGTATGAAAAATTTAAAATTCGCAACCTTGCCTTTCAAAATAGGCATTCCCCAAGCAGTTGCTTTCTTGGTGTTTTTTGGAATAGCATCATCAATCAGAGAATCAATGCCTGCATCTGACAAATCGTCAAACTTTGAGTCAGCCGAAGCCATGGTGTAATGATAGTGGTGTGTTGAATTTACACCGCGGCTACTGATTACAACACAATAATGACGTCAAGGAGGTTGTTTTGTCACAACCCAGAAAATCGGAATTCGTATAGTGTATGGAACTGAGTTGAATAGTAATGTTAAATTATCCGTGAAACCCTACGAAAGTTCAGCTCTGGAAAGTTCCACTTAGATCCTGGTAGACTAAAAGTTCTCATTGAAAAAAGAAATCATTAATTTTGTGTGTCTTTATCTTCCAGTGGCATATTTGGCAGCAAGTGGCGCTAATAAAAGGTAAAATTACTTTGTTGAAAATTGATGAATTTAACTTCAATTCAATGGATATCAATTTCTGGCCAATGTATTCTTTCAAGAAAGAAATCTTCAGTCCAACCTGTGCAGAATTATGGAATGGTGTCGTTGAGATTTCCCTGATAAGGGAAAACGGTACCACTGCTTTTTGAAAGAAGCTTTCACGAATACAAATATATTTCTTATGTTGTGGTTTAGAGTGTGAAAAGTTCATAAATAAAGGATGTTTGACATCACACACTTTCGGCTCTCCTTTCTGTCGTAGCTTAATTGAATTGGGAGCAGATGTGTGGTCTTGGGAGGAGATTACTATTCACCAGGGTTAGTTGCAATTTATGTCGGCGGCTGTATAAGGAAATGAGGCAAAGTAAACATATTCTTGGCAAAACAATACTTTAACTTCGTCATGAACAATGGGTCACGCTGTGATTTCTCTTTTTAAGGTGCGAGTTTTATCTCGCGACCTAAAGTAGCGAAAAACGTCAATTTGGCCTTTTGTTTGCTGGATGCCTGACAATGTGCTGAGTTATATGAGTTTAAATCTAATAATGGCGCTGTTGGCCATAGGCTTTTAGAACTTTAGGAGAATAACCCATCAGAAAACAGGATTCGCTTCATATTGCTCACGGGCACTGCCAGCGATATAGTAAAATATGATAAGCAATATGATTCACATTGTGAGTATTTCACATTTAAGATGAAAAATGAAATATCACTTTTGGACCGATCACTTTTACCTTTCAAATTTACTCACTTTTGTTCGCCAGATGCCTAACGTTTGGTGAGATTACTCTTTGTAATCCCAATGGTAGCGCAGTTGGCCGGCCCATCTTAGAAAGATTTTAAATGTACATTACAATTAGAATTTCGTTATGCTCAGAGTTATTGTTTTTGTGTCCAAACACACACTGCGAAAATTCAGCTCTGAAAAGTTCAATTTATATACCGGTAAATTAACAGTCCTCATTAAGAAAGAAACATAACTAGTTTTGGAAGCCTTTACCTTCCCACGGCAAGTAGCGCCTATTCATAGCTAAAATGGCCTTTCAGTTTTAAATTGATGAAGTTATTTTCGAAGCATTGGTATGAATTTTTGGTCTAGGTATTTAGAGAAAGAAATTTCGGTCCAAGCTTTGAAGAACTATTGAATGGTGTTGGTAGAGTACCTTTGAGAAGGAAGTAGAATTATTTCAACAAATAACAAAATAGTTCGTATATCGTAAGTCTGAATTACTTAGGTTTTTCTTTTAACAGAACGGTACTATTGTTTATGTAAAGAAGCCTTTATGTATACAAATACATTTTTAATGTTAAAGTTTGAAGCGTGGAAGGGTCATAGCTCAACAGCAGATGTCTGATACTATGCAATGTTTGCTCTCCCTTCTGTCATAGCTTAATTCAAGTGGGAGCACATACGAGGTTTCATGGAAGAAGCTATACTATTCATCAGTCGCAATTCATGTCAGAAGCAGCCTGAGGAAATTAGAAAAGGGAAAAATATTTTTGGTAAGATAATATTTTAAATTTTGTCAAGAACAATGGCTCACACTGTGAATTTTCATTTTTAGGTGCAAGTATTTATCTCGCAAAAAAAAAGGTCAATTTGGGCTTTTGTTCGCCAGATGGATGGCAATGTACAAAATCATAAAAGTTCCAATCTAATAATGGCGTGGTTGGCCTTAGGCTCTTAGGACTAAAAGAGAACAACGGGGAACCTAATCCTTAGTTTTTATCTGACTTATCAATATAGAAGAGAGATTGGTTACGCCAAAGGACATTTCTGATCAAAACGATACACCATGCACTAGAAGTGAGGTAAGAATATTGGATATAAAATTTTTCTTACTTCAGTAGTTGTTTTGTGGCGTTTTTAACCGGTTCTAAGACATGAAATCTGAGAAACAATTGACTTCGTTTAAAGAGCTTTCGCCTAAAACAGCCACTTGCGTTATAACTTAACTTTTGTGGATGGAAGGTATGGCCAGATTTGGTTGCGCAATTGATGCCCGCCGAAGAAGTTTCATAAGTAAGAATTAAAATTTTCAAATGCATTTTGACAAAAATACAAGGTCGTTTCAAAGGAGAAAACGTGCTTCATCTTTGACTTTGTGTTTATTGCGAAATATACTAAAATACCTTTTCTTTTGAGAGGAACAAAGGCTAAAAATAACGGATGACGTATTTCTAACAAATAGAGGCGCGGGAAAAAAGTCGTTTAAAGTCAAGGAAAAAAAAGCATGCGAAACCGAGTTTTTCACCAATTTTCCACTTGTAACCTGTGCGTCAACACTGAAGGATACCAATCGAGACGACAAATACCGTAAATACATTTGCATATTGAAATACAGGGAGGAGTTTTTGTCTCTACTAGAAAGTATCAAGTACATGGAAAAATGCACAAACAGCTGAAACACAAATCGCCTGAAACATGTCCCCTTTTTTTAAATTCACGATCGTTTAATCAGCACATAACTTTTAAGCCCATTTTGATGGGTAGGAACAATATTGATTTTAACCATACGGTTATAACGGGGGCCAACGCAATAGAAGCATACCTCCAA